AAATAATTATCCCCCTACCTTTAATTTTATATATTCGAAATTAATTAGGAGGAATATAATACTTTACGTACTTTAATCTACCTATTACTTATATTTATATATAAATTAAAGAAGAAAACGAATAGAAGATAATATTTTATATACCCTACGGATACTATAAGTATTTTATTATACCCTTCGGGTTAATTAATATACTTATAATATTCTAATTTATTATTAATTATATAATTCGACCCTACTTTAATAAATTCGCTATTTACTATTTAAATAATATCTTTATTTATTCTAAAATTTTCGTAGAATATAAAGAATATATAAAGAAAATATTGAACGTATTATACGAGTGCAAATTCTCTATCAATATAAAAAAAAGCAAATTTTATATAAGAGAAATTATATTTTTTAGATATTTAATTTCGGAAAACGAAGTTAGGATAGAACTAAGTAAAGTAGAAGTTATATAAAATTAATTAACGCTTAAGAATACGATTAAAATCCGCGGATTCCTCAGGTTTATTAATTTTTACTATATATTTATATAGGACTATAAGAAGATTGCTAAACCGCTATACGAATTTACTAGGAAAGAGGCCGCTTTTATATAGAGAAAAACGGAAGAGGAAACTTTTAGGGCTATTTACAATATAATTACTATAGACCCTATATTAAAACTTCCTAACCTAAACAAACCCTTTCAAATTAAAATTAATATATCGGATTATACTATCGGAAGATAATGAGAATAACGTAATAAGTATAGGAAATTGCATCCTATAATTTTCTTTTTAAAAAAGTTAGAAGGACCTTATTGTAATTATTCTATCTATAATAAGGAATTCTTAATTATTATTAAAATATTCTAAGAATAGAGGCTATACTTCAATAGAATTATATATAAAATACAAATCTATACCAACTATAATAATCTTTAGTATTTTATAATTACGAAGGTACTTAATAATTGTTAAATATATTAAACCAAATTCTTATTGGAATTTAATTTTAGAATTAATTATAAAAAGAGATTAGAAAACGTTCGTACTAATATACTAAACCGGCGGGTAAACTATATAAAAAACGCTATAAAAGCCTCTATACCCTTATTCTAAAAATAATTAAATAAATTATTTGTATACCCTCTATAGGAATAAGTAAAATACTACGCTATTTATAAAGTTAAAATATAAAACCCTAAGTTTTATATTATAATTATTACCCCTAAGGAATAATAGAAATAAGAGGATAATTAAAAAGATGGAATCGTCCTCTAGAATAATAAATTATAGTATTATAATAAAGCTTATATTTAATTTAAATAGTATAAAGCGTTTATTATAAGGATATATATATTTAAAATAGAAGAATATATAGGTATTATTAGAATTATAGTACGGATATAGTAATACTACAACTTTCTAAAAATAAAAACCGAAGTAGCTCGAATATTATAAATTTATAAGCGTTATAGTAAAATTAAGGTTATAAGATATAAACTATATAAATTCTTTAAACCTTTAAAAGTTGTAGAAAAGCTATAAAGTTTAGTAATTATAAATTTTATTACTAAATTACTACCGTCTATAGATATTATAATAGGAATCATTTATAATAGTATCCTAGTAGTAGTAAATAAATTAATTAAGTAGAATTATTTTTTACCCTATAAGGAGATATAGTTAGTAGAGTAATTTATAAATATAATTTATCGGAATATTACTTCGGTATACAATTGGCCGAAGGAATAGATTACGGATAAGGATACTAAATTCGTATCCAAGTTTTAATAAATATTAATAACCAAATTTAGTACTAAAAGTAAAATATTAATAGTATATTACCTATAAATAAATAAATAAATAAAACGAATTAATTAAATTATAAAGTAATATTTAAAGAATTATATTAACTTCGAATAAAATAATTAGGTAAAACTACTACCTATAATATAATTAATATATAATACTTCCCTTATAAAAACTACTAAAGTTTCACCTTTCTTTATAAACTACGGGTATAAATCAAAACTCTTAGAAGGACTAAATACTAACGTCCCTAGGGCTTTAATTAAAGCCAAAAAATTATATATACTATATAAGAAGTTTAAAGGAGAATTGGAATTCGTTAAATAAAAAATGAGCTAATATTTCAATTTAAAAAAGCTCGAAGGACTTCGCTTTAAAAAGGGGGATAAAATCCTTTTATTTACTAAAAATTTCAGAATAAAGAGACTTAATAAGAAATTCGACGACCGACGGATAGGGCTATTTAAAATTAAAAAGAAAATCTCCAATATAGTATATTAATTAGATATTTCTAAAATTATAAAACTAAAATTATATTTATTTTATATTATATTATTAGAATTAGCACCTAAAAATATACGAGTTAATATACGAATTAGTATTAAGGATAAGGAAGAAAAATAAAATATAGAATAAATTTTAAATTTAAAGATAAAAGAAGGAGAATTAGAATACTTTATTAAATAGGATGGATTTAACCTTAAAAATAATATATAGAAACCTATTAGAAATTTAAATTATTCTAGGAAACTAGAGGAATTCTACTAGAAGAACCCGGATCGGCCGGGGTAGAAGGACTATCTAATTAAGAAGAAGGGAAGGTAAATATATTTAGTAAAACCTAATTAATAGGCGGAAAGGAGGTAAATTTCCCAATCGGCTACTCTACGGGCAATAGTTTTAGCTTTAAACTAACCGCCCGTTCCTCTACTTCTAAAACCTCTAATTTAATTATATTATAAAAAGATAATTCGCAACCCTAAGAAGTTAAATCTTATTACTACCACTCCAAATCTAATAATTAGGCAATTTATATTTTTAAACCCTTCTATTAAGTATTAATCTATTTTAAATACTTCTTAATAGAACGAAAAAGCTTATCCTTTATTCGTTAAACCTAATCGAGGGTTATAATAATATTAATTACTAGAAATTGTTAATAATATTTATAATTATAATAAGAAGGAACCTTATATTCTATATCGGTATTAATAATTTTATAAGGACGTACCCGCTGTATATATTTAATGTACTTTCTATCGTCGGAAATCTTTTTGTAAGGAAGATAATAATCGGCGTAGTAAGTATAAAGTATAATAATAATTCTAAAATACTTAATATTAGTAATTAAATTTTAGTATTTAAACGCCGACCGGGAGGGACGTTTCTAAATGCGAAAGGACGATATACTTAAATAATAAGGGAAAAAAAATAATTTACTATAGTTAGAATAATAGAGGACGTAGCGTATAAAAATATAAATTATAGTAATAAAGAATTAATAAATTATTGAGGACGTCGGCTAAAGAAGGGAAGTATTATATTATAAATTTAAAGTAAATATATAGGCCAATTAAACTATTAGTAGTATAAGTAACCTAAAAAGGCTAATTCGTATAATTATAAGTTAAGGCAGGGTTAAAAAAAGTATTAGAGATAGGACTTACGCTAGTAAGCTAATTCTAAGCTTATACTAATAAATTAGCTCTAGGTTTATATTAGTAAGTTAATTCCGGGCTTACAATAGTAAACTAACGCTGGACTTATAGAGTAAGCCAGTATTATAATAATACAAGTAAGCTAACTATAGAATAAATAATACGGGAAGTATAAAGAGACGATTGGAGAATTTAGATTATTAAATAGTTCGACAATAGTCAATACAACTTAATTATTATTATTGAGACTAGTATTACGAATATATTTATTATGAACCCTTTAGCTTCACCGAACGACTCTAATAGTTCTTACCTTCAACTATCTTATTTAGGTAGATTAGACTGCCGTTCGTTACATTTCGTTTATATATTTATCGAAACTTCTAATTTTATAATCGACTTTAATAAGTTTGTTTTTAATATCACTCTTTAAACTTCGGTAAAACTAATATTTAAAGCCTTCGTTATTCTAATTAATATAGAACGCGAATTATTTAAATTCAGTTACGTAGGATATAATTAATTTAGTCTAACGAAGTTCGTTTAATTTAGTTTCGGTTTAATAAATTTTATTAGTAAGTCCGAAGATTTAATTAATAACGCCCTCGAAATAATCGAAGTTACTAAAAATTTAAATAATTTTAGGATATATATCGGGCTATCTATATTTAAAATAATTAATTTAAGTAGGTTAAAACTATTCGAAAGTTTTATTAATTAAGAAGGAGGCGGTATATAAAATTATTTGAATAGGGTTTTAAATATTAGAGAACTTTAGGTTAGTACGAACCTAGGTAAAGAATCCTTAGAAATCCTCCTTCTTAGTACTATCGAATTTAGGAGATAGGTTGAATTTAATTTTAGGAAGTAGGGAATTATTATAAATAGTATAGTCGGATAAAACTTTTATATTTAATTTATTAATAATTTTACGAAGTTCGGCTATACTAGTATTTTTAGTAATAGTAGGAATAAGGTTAATAGGGGCTAGCTTTTTATTTTGAGTATTAAAGTATTAGGCGGCTTCTTATTAGGTACAAAGTTCGGTAGTTATAATTTTACGGCTATTATCGTTTTTAATTCCGGTTATAGAGTCCGTTCTAGGGCCGGGGTTTTCGGCTATAGTACCCGGGAGTCTAGCTTTAGTGGGTCCTCCGGTAGCGGGGTTACTAATCGGATTTCTAAATATAATGAAGGTTAGGGCGGGGTTGAGGAAATTTAATAATTTGAGGAAACCTTTGGGTATAGTAGCAAATCCTAGAATATTAATATACAAATTAATAAGCAAATAATGTATAATGAACCGTTATAAGTATAAGAGTATATCGCTAGGATAATTAATAGATAATGGTAGTAGTAGCTAAAAGGTACTAATCGATTATAGAAGCTATTACTTGCTGGAGAGCTATAATAACGAAGGCCGGGAGGCCGTCTTATATACTGGCTCTCAGCCGGTCCCGTAGTCCCGATATTTCGGGACTCCGGGCTTGCCCCGTGGTCCCGTTGTTCCGGGACCCCGGGACCCTCCTGATTGGTCAATCTATCTAAGCTTGTTGGTTGGATTGTAACATCGATCCTCCTGTTGCCAGAGAGAAATGCGAGTATCGGAGTAGGAAGTATCCGCCTCTTGTTCATTGCTGATTTGCGAGGTAGGGTTTAGCTCGTGAAGAAAATGCGTATCAGCCCATCCCCAACTGACAACACCCATATGCTCATCATTGATTTCTCCATAATCTCTGTCATATTCAATCTTATCGTGGTTATCTGACTCATAGTCTTCTGTCAGGGCTGTCTCGCTGTCCGTTTCGGAGGTCTCGCTTTCTGGTACAAGAGGAGGGCGCTGGTCTATGAGCGTATTGGAAGACGGTTTTGCTGTTGTATTCGTGTCTGGCTCGAAACCAGAACTCGAGACAAGATGGCATTTCACCTGTAGAGGCATCTTCGTCTTCGACCCGAGGCCGCTTGTCAATATGGCCGTCAGAGGAGGGAGAGGTAGAAGCCGTGCGTTCGCGCTTTGTCGGTGACATTGTACTCTATATGAAAGTCTAGAAGAGAACTGTCAGCAGTGCTGACCGAAGGGGTAGTGAGAGCGTAAATTGAGAGACTTTTCAAGCGACACGAAACAATGAAAATCAAGAGGGACAAGCCGGGTTTGTTTGAGGATTATCATGATGACCTTTTGCGCTCCATGTCCTCTGACACTTACCGGCGCGTCACATGGAGATTGCAGCATCGGGATGACTTACGTTGACTCAATTGCTCTTGATCTCTTCGCCAGGTACGTTTTCTGGCCGGGGCTTTGAAACTTGCTTCAGTGTCTTGGAGCGAGCACCTCGTCGTTGATGCGTGCGAGAAGACAGATCCGAGCAGAATATGGTGCGAGATTGAAGGTGTCTTGCCGTCTGGGACAAGAGAGACGGCTTGGAAGTTTTTGAGGCAGAGAATTGAGCGAAATGAGACAGGGGCGAATATGACAGGGCCGGGACAGAAAGAGGGGTAAGATTGTGCAGCCGGAAAAGAAGATGATGGAAGGAGCACTATGGGCAGGTTGAAGTATGTGATGAGACCATGCGATAGTGCGATGGCCTAGTGCAGGCCGCTTCAGTGGTTGTCACTAACAGCCGGGATCCACTTGCAGATGTGAAAAGTTCAGGATGTGTAAGCGATAGTGCATTCCACTAACTTCGGTGTGTACAGCAGGGTACGCTAACAGGCTTGCATTGCATGCCGCGCAAGAAGCGAGGTTGTATTCCCGACGTGGATGGAATCGTGATGCATCGGCTGGGCAGCCCGGAAATCGCAATTCGCAGCTGAACCAGCTTCCGGCCCGAAGAAAAGAGAAGGGGAAAATGTAAAAGCTATCGACGGTGCTTAAGGTAGAAAATCAAGAAAAAGAAACAAAAAGATCGGCTCGCCCCTGCTCGGAATCGAACTCACGAAGAATCAACTCTGGACGAGCAAGGGTTAGACCTACGAAAACACCACGCATTTTCTGGACCCAGCGCACTACCACAAAGGCTACTGGACCGTGGTAGAAGGTCTACACTTTAGTACTTATAAAGGCAGGTGGTCCCAGGACAGGTCCTGCCGCTTGTTGACAGCTGGGGCCTGTGCTGTGTGGTCTTTCCTTTCGCGGCAGGAGTGGCTCACCACTAGGTACTGCAGACCTGGGATACTGAATGCAATTTTCATCCCAGGATGCGGGGTGTTCTCCCTTTTCTTCCCCCTTCCAACTTCTTCTTCACCATCTCCACCTAATCTTGGCTTTGTCAGCCCTTTCTCTGCTTTATTCGTTTCTTTTCTTTGATCAGATGCGTTTCTCCAAGTCTCTCTGTCTCCCATCAGGCAAAGTCCGCCATCTCTATGTATCTTTAGCACTCCGTTATTGTTTCCCTGTTCCCAACCAATTCCTGCTATGGCCTTTATACGGATTCTGTTTACTCTTTTTGTCAATGCTGTCCTAGGGTGAATCAACGTCCTTCTTGATAAACACCATACCCTCTCAGGTTGCAATGATGACAGTTTATCTGAGGAAGATTCAGTGATCAACCTATCCGGCTCCACAGAATATTCACCCAGAATGATAGAGGGTAAGTGGAATGCAGTATTGCTTCCTTTCAGAGTCTTCAAAGTCTATCACTGAGACCGATGACTCTGCGGACTACCTACAGAAGTCATGCCTTGAGGAATTCCCAATTTTGCTTTTACCACCGCATAGTCGTTTGTGCGTCTGCTTTGAACCTTGCTTCCGCCATGTCAATGATGTGTTGTTGCGCATTGATTCGCTCCAAGCCTTAGTTGTCAGTCAGTCGAAGTTTCACTCGACTATATCAGGCCGGCTATGGTCTGGACTGCGGTTCATACACTTCCACACATTCTTGCGATCGCACATTCTTTGGGAGAGGGCGAAATTACAGAGCTTTCAATGTCAACATGCAACGCCAATACACTTTTCTTTCCTCGCCCTTTGGAATCAAACGGTCCGTTGGTGCAATAGGCATAGGCACCCGTTCAAGACGTTGGCAATACACTGCACAATGTGAAGGAGAGGTACAAACTCGTGGTTCTACCCCCTACCTCAGTAGCAATGTTACTGGAGGAAGGAGTGTCTACCGTCTCATGTTTCGACCGGTTCCTCCAGCCCCTAGTGTGGCCCGTGCTCCAGACCTTGTGCCCCCTCTTCGTCCGCTCGCTGCGTTTTGCCACAGGCTCTGGCTCCATTCACCTGCTTTCATCTTGTTCGCTCCTGCTGGTTGCCTATCCTTGCTCCAGCCTCGCTCCACCAACAACGCCGTGTCTTTCGAATTTAGCCACCTCATCGCCATTTCGAAGCCCACGTCCAGCGCCATGGAAACACCCTCATTGCAGGGCGAAATGCCGGCTGCGGACACCATTGAAGACGAAGAAAAACATGCGCTGCAAGACCGGCATGTTGACGAACTGGTAATTCAGGCGCCCAGCGCGAAAACCAGTATCCTTTTGCCCTCCCGAAGGTCCCCCTCGCCTGTCGCGGACCAGCGAGTCTCGCTGTGGAAAGAGGAGAATCGCGCCTTCAACGGAATCATTAATCGAGACCGTAGTCGCCCCCATCGCCGCACTAATGCGGCTCGAGCTGCGCAAAGATCCGCGCCTATGATGAATGGACAGCCCCAGTTCGTCTTCTTCTGCGATGGATCAAGCTCGTACATGTCAACCCCAAATGCTACACAAGACGGAGGGTACGCCGTGGTCTTCCGTGATCCATACGGTGCCGACAAAGCCGCCACTACCAGCTCTTCAGATTCAGCAATAGCCAGAATCGATCTTCCGGGATCTCAAGAGCAAGACGGCATCAGTGTCGGCGACTTTACTATCCGGCACTGGCTATCTCACAGAACCTTTGGAGCCGCCCACGTCGAGATGGCCGCCCTTGCCCAAGCACTGGAAGAGGTTATCAAGCGTAACGATCAACACCGTCCGGACAAATCGACTGTCAAGATCTTCACCGATTCCGACACAGCCCTGGCACGGATAGACAGGGGCATCCTCAACTTGGAGACGAATACCTTTGCCAACAGCCTCAAGCGCAAGCGCGAGAATAAAGCATTCTTCGAAGAACACACCAATCCATTTGTACGTCTCATTGTATGGCAGTCGCACTACCTCTCTGACCGCGGTTGCACCATCGAGATGAACTGGATGCCTCGGAACACCACACTGGGTCACAGCTTGGCCGATCATATGGCCGGCAAGTGGAAGAACTGGAGGGGAAAGGATCCGGGTGATGCTTTTAACCAGAACTATCTACCACGCGATGAGAGAGACGGCATTATGGACAAGTTGCATGAGGAGGTCAGCGCCATTGAGCGTGCAAGAACCTATGATGTTCTGGACCCTGAACCTGAGGAGGAGCCCAAGCCCAAGCAGGCGCAACCTCCGAAGAAAGAGAGGAGGATTAAGCTTGCGACTGGGGCCAAGAAAAGGAGCACAACAGAACGTATTGCCCTCCTCGACAGTCCAAGCGACTACATCCCTCTGGACTCTGAATCCGAAGAGAAACTGGCGTCTCAGTCGCAACCACAGAAAAAGAAGCAGAAGGTCGAGGGTACGATTAAGGCCCAAAAAAGGAGTACAACTGACTTCATTCTCCTGGATTCTGATACCGACGAGGAACCTCAACGACCGAAGAAAAGGAGAAGGGTAAGGCGTGCAAGGGTCAAGAAAACAAGTGCAGAGGCTCATACTGCCCCTGATGGTTCAAGCGACTACACCCCGCTGGACTCCGATTCTGAGCAGAAGCCCAAGCCCAAGCCACAGCCTCCGAAGAAACAGCAGGAGACCAAGGGAGCGACCACGGTCAAACAAAGAAGTACAAGTGACTTCATTCTGCTAGACTCTGATTCCGAGGAGCAACCCAAGCCCAAGCAGCCGCAAACTCCAAAGAGAAGGAAGAAGATTAGGGGTGCCATTCCGGTTAAGAAAGGAGCATCGATGCAGCAGGTTGAAGAGGACAGACTGCTCAATGGCGAAGATAATGCGACTAGCGCCGACGGATTGCTTCATGGTGAGGACCATGCCTTCGCCTTCGACTTGGGAAACCTGCCTGTCTACCCCAACGAGGAGCACGCAATTCACGATCCTGACTCCGGCCATGGAACTCCCAGTTGTCTTTTGTGTGCTTGCCAAGACAATGATTACCCGTGAAGGTCGGGCTATACCGGTTTGCCTTCTCAGTTGGGCTCTTAGACGATACTAGTTAGGGTAGGCAAAAGAGCCTGCTGGTGTATGCGTGTAACTAATCGTTTTCGGTCTGTTGACATTGGCGTCATGGCTAGAGCTGTAGCGAGCGTGTCTGTTACGATGGTTGTTCTGTATCTGCTCAATGGTCATAGAAATGATACCCAGGGCTTTTGTTCGGAGTCAGACGCAATGGAGTCATGGATGCATTAAGAGGGTAGGGGGCTTTTTTGGTTGCTCGAAGAATCATTCATTTCTGGACAGTAGTACATGTAGACAAAGAAACCTTTGGATTGTGTTGATTCGTGCCTATTATTAGATGACAAGCGGAGGGTACCTATTTATATCGGCTATGCCCGGCTGTTGTCAGGTTCAACGAAGCCGAGCTTCTGCGTGATTGTGACCAGCCCATATTCACAATCATTATCATCTGTTGACGTGTGTAAGGATCAAGAAAAATGGATGCATGTATCTTTCAATCACCTTGAATTTTTCCTAAATTCCGCTATGAAACTCTGGATTTTCCGGTTACATTTACCTATAAATGAATCTTGTTAGGGCGTGATCCGTAGCGATTTTTTTTGGGCGTTTTCACCGGGTGAAAGGGCTGGTGAAAATCGTGGTCCCAAATATTTTTTTTCACTTTTATATCTTCTCACCGAGTGAACAAGACGTTGTAACCCGGTGAAAAGAAAACCTCCATTTTTTAACCTCCTAGCCAATTAGAACCCAAAACCACTTTTTCACCGGGTGAATAGAAAAAAAGATGTTTTGTAAGTTGCATCAACCGCTGAATCCCCTAGAATAGTACTGAAGCCGATGTAACCAGCCCAACTCCAACGTCAAAATACTAGAAATACCATTTCCACCAAAATTTTAGCAACCCGGTGAAAAAGCCTATACAATTGGTCCGTGCAACCTTTTCATCTGAAGTATTTTTTTTCCCGGTGAAAAAGTCCAAAAAAGGCTACGGATCACGCCCTTAGTGTAAGGAATTCCATTAATCCCTTGCATATGAAGGAAAGATGCTTGAATCCTCCTGACAATCAAACAACCATTACGACTTAATGTTTGATATGTGCCAACAAGTCGCTGCCAGCCATCAAATTCGTTGAAGGTGAATTCCCGTTGAGGAACCGAGAAAAGAAGATGAACCGCGGGGGAAACTTCCATCGCGAACATTGAACGTCGTCGAATGTGGGACACTTGCCAAGCCTACAAGCGCGATGAACGCGGCTGACAAACGCTATCGATAATGAGCGAGGGCGCGCAACCAATGAACGAAGACGTCGTGCACCTTGGCTACGGCGTGCCCCACCGAGTTAAGCGACGCCGTTGTTTACATCGTGAGCGCCGAAAAAGGGGTTGAGAAAGCGGAATACAAATTTGATCGCTAGCACAACGTTCCATTGTTCACTACTCATATAAATAGAAAATTGATACCCCCGAAGATATTTTCGTTTCGATGACTGCAAAATGAACATGGGCGGCTAGATGCACCTTCCTTACATAACATTGTACGTGCGTCTAGGATGGTCGGGTCAGGTGGGCTTGTGGGTCAGAACGGTTACGACTTCCCTTGGGTGTCCTCGGAGCAAACCTTTCCGTTGCATTCACGAAAGACAATAAGAGAATGTAAGATATGAGTCGTATTGTGGCGTGAAAATGTAAGACGAAGCGTGTGTTATACGGTCGACTTTCCTTCCATTGAGGTGTCGCTCCCAGTCGTTAGTGGGTCGGGTACCCCTTATGCCCGGGCCTGGTCTGAGGTCCTTCCGCCCCGCCGTCGTTCGCCCACCCCGCTACCCCGCGCCAAACCTGCCTACAAACCCGAGAAGGTGCCCTTGGGGTACATACATAAAGCACCTTAACAGGCTAACCTTCCGTGGTTGGCTGGTTAGTGTAATAGGCAACATCCCTGAGGTGGAATGATTTCACTTCTGATTGAGGTCCTTGAGGAAGATATTGGTTCGAATCCAATACCGGGCAACCACGCTTCTTTTTTTTTGCACTTTATTCTCTGTTTATATTCCAGATCTTGATCCACACATCAATGCGTTTGTAGGCCAAGTCCCCACCCGGTACCCACGCCAAGATCGTGTGACCTGGATGGATGACCACACGCACAGATGCAAAGTGGACGTACAAAAAGCATCTGCTGCACCTCTACAGCGTACATAATTTTTTCTTCTTTTCATCCTATAACAAACCAAAAATTCCTGCCAGCTATTTGAGCTTTACAGCTGCTACCCTTTTCTGGCTGTCAAAGATTTTTTTTTCTTCTTTTTTACGAAGTAATTCCATGTAGAATCAAGGCCCCGAACCGCTCGTCTTTTCAGCAAACCTTGATTGGAAAAGAAATAGATGCGAGGTTCCTATCGGAAAAAAAATGGGGCGTTGATTGGCTGGAAGAGATGAATTGTTTAAGAAGGAGCAATGGTGCAGATTGCAGATTTGAGACACGACCTCCCTTCCTTGAGTGGCCGAAGGAAGGATGGAGGAACCAAAAGACAATGAAAAGAGAGAAAGATGAAGGAAGAATACCACCGGAAGTCCATGATTTTCCGTGTTCAAGCTCTCTTTCAAAGGATGCTAGGACAGTCATCGGCTCGCAGTCTCATGTCCATGTGCGGAGAGATCCATGTTATTGTTCGTTCAGTGAGTGATCATTTCATCCCAACTCGCCACGTCTATCATTGCCCGAAAATAATGCCATTTTTGCCTGCCACATACTGTTGTTATCTTGCCGGTGTCGCATGCCTGCCTCGAGTTCCTTTCGCCAGAAGTTTGCCTCCGCGGGAACGCGTTACGATCCCGCCAACCCCCCATTCTCACGATAGCACGTTTGTTCTCTATCTCGGTTGTCTGAAACGCGTCTTGGACAGTGTTCAAGGCATACAACAACGTTCACAACGCATATCGAGTTCATCACGTCAGTTACTGGGTCGTAGAAAATACGTTCTGTCGGCGAAGGGACTTCTTGCGCTCTTGATTTCAGACATTTTCGTGAGCAAAAAACGCGTAAGTCTTGGCTCAGTCTGCTTTGATCAAATCACTAGCCAGTTAAGCTGACATTGTTTTATCCAGGTACACAAATCGTAAAAAATGTCCTCGAGCGAGGTGAAACCCAAGCGTGGGCCCCCCAGTCACACCCCGTCGCCTCGTTCTGACGGGAAGGATCCCAAGCGGCCGAAGCTCGATGGCCACCCGGTTATTGACCTAACCGGAGACTCGGAAGACGATGACGCCCCTCCCGCTTTGCGCCAACGCCTCCTCACCTCCTCCTTGCAGTCTCCTCTACCTGCCCCCGACGTTCAAGGCGATGCAAATGTCGATGACCGTGCCCCTGCGGCAGGCGCCAGCGCTGGCGACCATCAAGAACCCTTTGCCGACAACGAAGCCGGAGAACTTCTCGCTGTCCGTCCGGCTACGCCGGTAATGAGGAACTCTCCGCCCCAACCGGCTCCGATTGTCCAGCCTCCTCGAAGCTCTTCCCCCGAGCTGACGGCTATCGAGGTCGTCGACCTCACCGGTGGCGATTACGAGGAGCGTCAGAGATCCCCGCGCTCCCCCACCCCCTCACTCGACTATCGGATTGCGCTGTGGACGCAGGAAACGCGCGAGTTTGCCGGCAGACTGATACTGGAGCCTCCCGAACATGCCCGTTTCTCCGCCCAAGAAGCATGCAGGGGCCCTCTCTGGGTCGACAACGTCCCGCGGATAATCATTTTCTGCGACGGGTCGAGCAAGCTGACTCCGTTGATGACATGGGAGGGTACCAATGGCGGCTATGGGGTTGTGCTTCGGGATCCATGGGCCGCTGCTAATGAAGAAAATGGTCAGGTGCAGGAGGCATTTGAGGTCTGCTCGTGGTCAATCCAAAAGATGTACTCCAGCAGCCAGGCTGAGCTGGCTGCCATCACTCAATCCATCGACACTTCGCTTCGTTTGCGGGAGAAGCACCGCCGCGCTCCCAAGTTTGAGGTGCGGATCTTTACCGACTCGAAAGAGTGTTGGCACCGGCTACGCAGGGGCCTAAACCAAAGGCCTGAAAGATTTTCTTTCAGACATACGGAGCCCATCCTCCGTGCCGTCGTCTGGTTGTCTCACCGTCTGAAAATTATGGGTGGCGACTTGGAGGTGCGTTGGAATCCTCGGCGATGCGCAATCGGTCCTGAGCTGGCTGATGATGCGGCAGGTGTTCATTATCGCGATGTCGATCCCGAGGTCTTTAATCAGCGAAACGTTCGGTTGCTTGAGCGAGATGGCATCTTGGGCATGGTCCACGAAGAAATTAGCGCCATTGTTCGGGAGCGTGTAACCCCTCCTCCGATGCCTTTTCCTTTGCCGGATTGGTTTGGTGAGAGATAACCTCGTGAAGGGATCATTTTGTGTCTGTGGCAGAATCCGTTGTACAAATAGAGGTATTTTGTTGTAATACTTACTGGTATCCTTCAAAGCATAGAACCGGCGTTGGGGTGTTGGCCTTTTGGGAATGTTTTGTACTACTACTGTCATTATGATCGTTTTGTTTCTTCGTTGCTTTCTCTTGTGCCTTTCGGTCAATGTCCATTGGTAATACCTTCCTGCTCCGTGATGTGAACAGAAACACTATGAAAATAAGTCGCAAGAGCTATAATGGGCCATAAACATACGTTATGAGGGAAGGATGTAAGGTTGTACGACTAGAAGAAAAGAAAAAGAGGTTATACCTGATCGTCATGAAAGGAAGGAGGTTCAATCTAGGAAGATCGATCCTTTGATTGAAATGAAGAAAGAACAATGAAGGAAAACGTGCCAGAAAAGTGCAAAAAAAAGAAGCGTGGTTGCCCGGTATTGGATTCGAACCAATATCTTCCTCAAGGACCTCAATCAGAAGTGAAATCATTCCACCTCAGGGATGTTGCCTATTACACCAACCAGCCAACCACGGAAAGACGGCCAGTTAAGGTACCTTATGTAGCCCAAAGGCACCTTCCTTGGATTGCATGCAGTTTCGGCGCTGGTTAGCGGGGCGAGCAAGCGACGGAAAGCGAAATATGAGGGGTACAGGTACTTCAGTCTTGTTCAGTTCCCCATTTTTTCCCGCCCCTCCATCCTCCATTCACTTCCAGTGCCATGCCATTTACCTCGCAAGTCTTAAATCTAGACCTCGCTCCTTTTCGCTACTAACCACTCGAGATTTTGCACCATCATAATCAGTTGACGAGCTTCTTCGTCCTTCGCGACAGAAACCTCGGATATTTGTTCGGTCCTTCCCACCTTCCTCCCCGTTCTCTGACAAGTGCAATCCAAGAATCGGGAGGTACTTGAAGTCTCGGGTCAAGGTGCCATTTGACCACATACATGAGGGTTTTCTGCTTCTTCCTATATCTAGCATCTCTCTACGTCTTCGCCCTCCCGTCATCTGTCCGCCTCTTGTCTGCCCTCTATCCCGCATCTACGTCAAAATCTCACCACTCTACGGCGTATACCTTGACAGTTCTAAACTAGAAGGTTCCACTGCCGAAGACTGGAGCGACATTCCGGCTCCTGCTTTGATATGGAGAAGTATTTCCACGATACAGAGCTACTTCACGTTTACTTCCTCGACGCCGATCCGTCCGTCGACTTCAATATTAACCGTCTCCCTGTCGTTCATGAGACCCCTGGCGCCTTGTACGGCATCTGTACGGCGCTTGGCCAGCTCGTAGGTTCATTGTGCATTCCAGTTTTTCCTGACTCACCGCGGAATGCCTGCCGCTCATGGGAGTTCAGTAAGTCACAACGTATACGCTAGCTCAGCCAGTACAACTTGGCTCTCGGTCGACTTGCCCACCAACCCAACAACCTCCTCGTTGGTCAACATCTCCCACAGGCATCTCACCAGACAAAAACGCGATGCGGCCATCCACACAGTCAAAGAAGCTTGTGAAGAAGCCGAGGGTGAACTTGAATACCAGTTCAACCTATCCGCTGATGGATTGTGTATTCGGACGGGTAGCTGTACCCTAAGTACGGGGCAGAAGGGGTGTACGTTTCGGATTGAGAGACCCCTTCAGTATGAATAATGAATGCCGTTCTCGCACCCTCTTGCAAACGACGGACGCAATGTAAGGTCTTATATTCATGAAAGACTTACTCGGCCACGGTATCGATGTGGACAATTCCGTTATCCCCCGGGGACATTCTCACATGGCTTTGGGCCACAGTATGCCAGAGTACAACAGTTTGTGCTTTTACTTTTGCTCTTACCTTGTTCCTATTCTTGGGATCGGCGAGGATTGTCTACTTTACTATGGATTTGCACTGCCTAGGTAGGTTGACTGAAGCGATGAAACAAGAAAGAGCCACAGGAGGGATGCCTTTTGCGAACTGTAGGTGATGGGGACACAGGTTCCGATATGGGCACAGGGCAAGGGGCATATAATCTTCCTTCAAGCACTAGCATCCAACAACCAAAATTCCGCTGGTAAATGGCCCCGTGGTGTAACGGTAGCATATGTCAAGAGAAGTAGACGGTCCCAAGCCCAGGTAAGGCAGGCGTCGGCGAACCACCGACAGGTCCCAGGTTCAACTCCGGGCAGTGGCATCCAACATTTACCAGCACGCTTTTTTGTGTCCTTTTGCCTTTATCCAGGGCTTTGCCTTACTCTAGAGTACCTTGCCTCGGTGCCTATTTGATATCTTTGCTGCATTTTTGTTCTTGCGCAATATCATGCTGTACCTTTTGCTGCTTCAGGTTATTGCATCGAAGGCGAGGTTTGACTGTGCTTCTAAGACACTTGTCCAGCTCATCACGATATCAAATGTATTCCGTTGGATTTGTAAGTGATTCTGGTATTTTCTTCTCACGATGTCACTCGACAGGGTGTTTCTGAGAAGAGGCCAAGGCCACCAACCAAGGGACATGATTTGCGCTCGACGATGATGAGAGAGAGATGATGAGAGAGAAAGGGCCCTACTTGTGATCGCGCCTTCCGTTGCGAATTTAGAACGGGATTGCTGCCTGCCCTTGCGTACGTCATCCCAACTTGTGTGGAAGAAACTTTGACCCGTGCTCTTATCGAGCCTTCCTTCACTCCCGACCCTTCACCTTTCAACACTTGTCTACTGTAGTAGGCAGCAGACGGGAAACGACAACAGGCAAAGTGGTCAACCGTCCCGGCTTGCCCCGCACTCTTGGACTTTACCGCGATACCCAGGGCAGTTTTTTTTTTTTTTTTTTTTTTCTTCTTTGCAAAATTTAGAGTTATTCCTTTCACGGGATGCGCCAGGCTGTTTTTATTCGCGTCCTCCTCAACTCCACGTGGCAACAGGTACATTTGTATCACTGGGCCTCATTTTTGCTACCTCGACAGCAATTTATTCTTCTTTTCTGGGAATCACTGGACTCGTAGCGCCGTACGTCGCAAGATACATCATTCAAGGTGAGTAGCCATAGTCCAATTAGCGCCATCGAGGGGAATGATTCTCCATCACAGCTCCTTCCCCACAATCATGCCCTTTCTCTGCCAAAAACTAGAACAGTCCATTAGTCCTCCACCTATTCCAGCTTCAACCTCGAGAGATGACACTTCCAAAGCGAGCCCGGAGCCCGGAGTTCATTGCTGATGCCGATGGAAATGTTTACAAACGCGTCAAGCTGGGACCAAAATCGTTCTATTGAATGGGAATACACCCGAAATTCCGCGAAAGGCCCTCGAGTTCGTCAAAGATCCCTCCGAGCAGACGCAACATGTCTCAAAGACTGTCGCGAATCCCAAAGATACCGTCGCCGACAGGTGTCCGACAGTTTCTGGACCGACTCATACCGACCCTCGACCCCCTTCTTGCGCACTGCCTGCGCTACCTCCGCCTGAACTTCAGGGGTTGGCGATGCCTGGTGAGGCCAGGAGCAGGTCCATCGATCGCACAAGTCGCGTCGACAACGTAACGCCAACCCGCAAGCTTCCAGGCAGATCACCCTCGCCCAGTGGTGACGTTCGGATTCCCTTGTGGCGGAATGAGACTCGCGCCTTCAAATGCACATGTGAACTTCCGCCAAGAATCATTGGAAAGGAGTTAGCCGAAAGTGCGCATAATGCTGAGCTGTGGGTCGATGGTAAGCCACAGTTCAACCTATTTGTTGACGGGTCTCATAAGCCTTACGAGCCAAAGACCAAGGATCACAGACGACCAGAGTACCATTCATGGGGCTACGGCGGCTACGGTGTGGTTTTCCGTAACCCCTACCACGGAAAGGGGAGCGCCGAGTTCGACCACAACCACAACGATAACGCCAAGTCCAAGAGCCACACCAAGGAAGACGAGGACGAATTGGGACCAGGCCACTTTAGCAAGCGTTCCTGGAGATCCTATCGCGTGCTATCGATTGATCATGCAGAGTTGGCCGCCATCTTTCAAGGCCTTGCAACCTTCCTCACCTTGGTCAGACGACACAGACCTCCCTCCGGTACTTCCGTTTGTGTTTTCACGGACAGCTCAGACAGTGTCCGACGGCTACGAAATAAGCGCGCACTTGCAGATGACGAGCCGGTATCTTTGCGCAACGCTCTTACCATGCCGCTGGTGCGTGCTATCATATGGTTGTCACACTGCATCTCCGACGAAGGGTGCGAGATCAAACTCCAATGGCTGCCAAGATGCTGTGTACGGGGGCACAAGCTGGCAGACAGGGCTGCAGGATCGTGGAGAAGAAAGAAAGCCGTCTTCTACCAGAAAAACAAGCCGCTTTGGCGGAGAGATGGCACTCTCGATGCGGTCCACGAAGACCTCATGAAGGTGGTCAAGCGGATCGAAGCCGGAGAACAGGCTCTTCTACCTCATTGGTCGGAGAGGAAGCATAAACCCAAGGAAAACAAGAATGATGAAGATATGTTGGAGAACTTTTCTGATTCAGCGGTACAGAAAGAGATTGAAAAGGATTCTGGGCTCATCGACACGCCTTCTAATAAGGATCAGGACTCTGCGTCCGTCATGATTCATGAGGATCCTATGGAGTCTTGGAAGACTCGTAAAGGGCCTAGACCTAAGGGTGAAAGGCCAAAGGAGCAAAGGGCTGGTAATTCCAGGAAAAACTGTCGCTGGAAATAGCATGCACCGCTTCTCACAGTGCCCTGTTGGTGTCAAGATTACATGTTGGATTTCGTACGGACCTGAGTTCATTGCTATCAGTCCTTTGCACCTGGAATTATGGCGTAGAAGATACCCAGCGTTGATTTTCCGTACTTTGTAGCACAGCACGCTCGTTCCTCGCACTTCCGTTCCTGTCTATCATCAGAGGTAAACTCTGGGAGCCTGGGATGATCCCTGAAGGAATGTCGATAATGGTAATATACCTCTAGGGACAAAGACGGACTATGAATTGCCTTTCTCACACACATGCAGCATCATACTGCCCTGACTGTATGTGAAATGCAATCTCTCCAAGCAAACACTTCCAACACAGCTGGGCTCTTTCGGTGTTCGCGAAAAGGTACCAATGGAAAGCGCCCCAGAAGTCCAGCCTTTGTTGTTGTACAGACAGATCACTTCCACCGACTCGATCGGGGTGCAATTTGAATTGTGATAGTCCTGACACGCATGTACCAATTCCCCAACCTGGTTGGTGGCAAGTTCGGCACTCAAAAAAGTAGTGCGTGTCTGTACTTGCGGCGAGTGAATGCGCACTTTGGGAACATACACGCCTCTTCAGTCGCAATAGCGATTTGCTTTACGTACAAAGCTAGTAAATGCACTCCTGTAGACAAAAAGGAACACCGAATATGAATCAGCAAGCAAACAGGGTGGAAGGTGAAAACGAAAGAAAAAAAAAGTACAATAAAATACGTAGTGCTGGTAAATAGTGTTGGAATGCCACTGCCGGGAATCGAACCTCGGACGCGTTGGTCCGCTGGCCGCCTGCCTTACCTGGGCTTAGGATCGTTGCTTCTCTAACGTGTGCTACCATTACACCATAAGGCCACATTTACCAGCTGTTGTTGGATGTAAGTGCCGGAAGGGAGGGGTTATATATCTACCTAAAGTATTCTGTGCCCGTTCCTCATTGGGTGCATCTGAACCTGAACCTGCGCCGTTTCCGGTCGCAGGACCGCGAGGCATCCTTTCCTTCTTCATTACTCTATGTTAGCGACTGATCCGTAATCTGCCAATGATCCAGCATCATTTATCACTTGTGAACATTGCGAATCGCAGAGGGTAAGGTAGAAGGTGCATGATAGGAACAGAATTATCACGGATTCCATGCATGCACCGGGGTCTTGTTCATACATACCTACCTATGTTTCCAACTTTCTTACAAGGAAGCTATAGCTCATCTCATCTCACAACTCCCCGTGTCAGTCTTTTCTAGGTACCTAGGTGTTGCCAAGTTCCCTAAGACAACCTAGAAGGTAGGTATTCGAATTGCTATCGCCCACCCGACATCATAATGTAGGTAGACAGTTTACCTATTCTCACAATCGCTCACGACTCCTTTCGACTCCTCAACACACTTTACAATACCCCTGCGTTATGAAATATCCAGCGACAAGATATAATGTAGAGCTGCCCTTGAAAGATGGGAGTTTATCGATGCACATAGGATACATGTTTTACCCCACTATTAACGCTTAAAGTGCAAGAGACATGCAGCACAGTTATGACAGGAGAGTACTTAGCCAATCTTCTTTCCAACGCACTTTCATCAAAGCACACAGCAGTTATGGTGGTTGAAACAACGCCGAGTGTCCGCAGTAGGTTTTGCATCTCGGTTTTCAGTTTTCGGTTTACACCAGACAGTTTCCGGGTGGGGCCGATCACGGGGCGGTCCGTAGTGGAGCTGCCTTGTGGGGCTGGCGGGACCGATAGGATCGTCAGGTCCCCGTCGCCCGTCATGCACTGCCGCACGCTTGGTCTCCACCATTATCTCCGGCATCCGAGCCCGGGTTGGTACCTATGGTGATGTACATGTACCGACATGCGAGGGCATCCCTGGTGCGCTGAGGAGGTTTCCTTGCACTACTGTCCTTGCCAGAATGAATTCTCAGTGATTCCTGTAGGTCGTGAACGATGTAACAGTTAACACATTGGCCAAACAGAGAAGATTGAAGCGAAACAAAGATGTATAAAATGAAGGATCAGCTGCCCCAATGTCTGGTCGTTTTCACACATGCGATATGTTCGATTCTTTTTTTAACGTATGTATCATTTATCCTGCGCTGACTGCATCCAAAATCTCCTGAAACCCGCTGACCCAGCCGATGCGCAACCTCCACCTCGGCAAACTGTCCAAACTGATATATACTAGCGTACCCAAATATCCAAACTTATATAATAGTGCATGGTATACTCTTCATCATTGTCATTCTCATTCTCATTCCCATGACTCGTCCAATGCAATATCCAAACTCCCGAATTCTTCTTCTTTTTTTATTCCACCAACCCCCCACAACCCCAGAACACCGAACCATACAACCCAACCTCCCTTTCCTTTGACTTTTACTTTTCCCAACTAGTACCATAGTGTACCACGCCAGGCCAACCAGGTCTCACCAAACCCCTCTGCCCTTCCCCTCGTACACAAAGTTCAACACGACCGCCACAAACAGCGCCGCGCAGAGAATGCTCGGGCCCCACTTATCATAGTACCTCGCCGCCTTCCTTGTCCGGATGGCGTGGCTGCGGTAGAGGTAAATCACCACGGCATACCACAGCGAGAGGAAGGCCAAGAGGGTGAACACGCCGGCGGCAATGATGGAGCTTCCGCGACCGCCCTTGTCGCTGGCGCCAAAGTTGAGCAAGGTGACGGCAATGGTGCCGATGTAGATGGAGTATTCGAGCTGTTACATATCCTTGTTAGTTCAAGCGGCCAGGAAACATGAGGAAAGGGGAAGGGAAAACGGAACGACATACCCATCCCAAAAAGGTCCTCTCGGCTGCAAAATACACCTTGGGCTCCACCCTCACCGGCACATAAATCTTCTTGCCCTTGGGCGCCTTGATTCTCTTCTGATGAATCTCGCCCGAGCCCAATAGGCTCTCCAAATTCGCGTTCCTAGGCACCTGCGATGCTCTGGGCCTGGGCACCAGCGCCTTGAGAACTGACCACGTCACCCTCGCCGCGGCGTTGGCGCGCGTCTGCAAAAGAGTCGAGTAGTAAGTCCAGCCGCCGACTCTCCTCGCCTCCTCGAGCCTGTCTTCATCCGGTTCGTCCTCCGAGTCGTACAGGTAGGTATTCTCGTTGGAAGCCTGGTCAACGGTCTGGTCTTCGATGTCAGTAGCGGCAACACCGCCACGAGCCCGCCGGTTTCTGGCCAAGCCTTGAGCGCTGGCCTCGCCGTTTTGACCGTCCTGGTTGTCGGTCGCGTTCTCATCGTCGGAATCCTCATCATCGTCTTCGTCGACGTCGGTGGTGCTGGTCCTGGTCGAGCTTTCGAGGCGCTTGATGCCAAAGTCGTGCGTGGGCGGCTTGCGAATGTCCACGTCCATCTGGGGGAACCAGTAGGGAAGGAGGTGGATGCGATCGGGGAAGAGGCTGGCGGTGCCGTGGATGAACTTGGAGAACTTGGGCACGGCTTCCACCAAGTGACTGGAGATGAGCTGGCGGACCCACTCGGGCGGTTCCTGGCCGAGCTGTGTCTGCAACTTGACTTCGAGAACGGCGTACGGGAAGCGACAGATGTCACTGGGAGGAAGCTGTGGAAAAGGCCAATCGATGCCAATGTCGGTGCGCCGCCAGTTGTCACCAGACCGCTGGACACCATCCAGATTATCTTCGCGGATCATGGTCAGCTCCGTGTCGAGGGAAATGCGCACACGCGCGTCGGCGGGGAGCTGGAAGGCCGTGCGGTGGTAGAAGGAGCGGACAACAGGCTTCAACTTCTTCTTCAGGACAGAGTACTGGATCTCGGCGGCGAGGCGCTCGTCTTCGGCAATGGCCTTTTCGGACTTCTTTCCTTCCTTGCGCGCCTTTTCGAAGATGGCCGAGGGGAGGAGCTCGCCGCGTAGGTAGGGATTGACCAGCTTTTCCTTCAGGGCGAAACGAGCCTTGACGGACTTTTCGCCCGTCCAATCTTCTCTGTGGGTTTTCCGTTCGACGAAGATGGTCTCGGTTTGCATGCCGCCGTACCATCGCAGACGAATGGCCTCGGCACCTTCTGTCTTCTTCAACCGACCCTCGTAAAGCTCAAATGTCTCTGGGTTGTCGTAGTAGATGGATGAGATGGCCGAGTCGGCTTCCTCAAACTCTTTGCTCGGGTTGAAGACCAGAACAGGCAGATGCTTGAGGATGATCAGCTTGAGCTCGGTGACGTTGTCGGGGTGCACCCAGTATTTGGTGGTGTGTCGGACAAAGCTGCCTTGGCTTCCGCCGGCAGAACTGTCGCCCTTGACGGGGTTGCCTCTTGTCCGGACCAGATCGTACAGCTTGGACAGCTTCACGACAGCCGCGTCGTAGTTCTCCTTGTAGAATGGCTTGGCCTTGAGACGTGCGTCGAAGACGGGCTTCAAGCGCCATCCCGTCATCTTGTCGTGCTTCTTGATGATCTTGTAGAAGCCGGTGTAGTTGACTTGTACGAACTTGGCAAGGTCGTGGACCTCGGCAATGATATCGCTTAGATCCTCCTCCAGCAACATGAACTCCTCCTCGGTCGGCCCTTCTTCGTTCAGCCCCCGTTCCTGCAGACGGTTGACGACATCTTTGACTTCGCGCTCGCTGACGGCTATCCTCCTCGAGATCTCCATGGCCTTGACCTGCTGCTTGGTATGGACCTTGTCGAGCTCAGCCTCGAGCTTGCTGACGAAGCGTTTCTCATCCTCCTCTGTCCACTCGCCATTGGGACCGCTGGGGTGCTTCAGGTCGGCCTTGAGGCCGTCATAGTCGATGTAGTACCATTGGTATTCGCGGATGATGCTGGAGCGGAGTTGTTCGCCGAACTTC